AGTGGTGACAGAATGAGAGAGGCTTGTTGGTGTAGCGCACTACAAACGGGAGGAATAAACAGTTAGTATTCAAAAAGCAGGAGGCTAAAATAAGTTTAAAAAAGATTTAGTTCTAAACGCGAGGGTCAGCCTCGCGTGTCGCTTCCAAAACGCGAAGGTCGACCCCGCATTTTAAAATTAAAATGCTGAGGTCAGACCCGCATTTTAAAATTAAAAGCCAAGGTTAGACCCACATTTCAAAACCAAAATGCCGAGCTCAGACCCGCGATTTACTTACAAAACGTAAAGGCCAACCTCAAGTTTCAATTTTAAAATGCTGAGGCCAACCTCGTGTTTCAATTTCAAAATGCAGAGGTCCACCTCCGCGTTCTAATGACAAAACGTGAGCCTTACTCATCGTTTAAATTTCAGAACTTGTCAAAACAAGTTTTACACTTTCAAGGTCCAATACTTAACACCGACGAACGATACCTATGACGATGGTGTGGCCGCTTGAGTCGCAGTTCCACCGGTGGCCGAAGCCATCAGTACGCTTGAACCCACCGCGACAGTTTTCTAGGAACAGACTTAGCAACAACTTTCTTTAGGGCCATTTGGGTTCTCAACGGAGAGTTCACCGGAGATTTGAACGAGAATTCTCGTTAATCAAGACGGAGATGAAATAGAAGAGTCGATGGACTCTTGATTTGATCTGAGGGTATATTTATAGACAGCTGAACTGTCAGATCATCACGGGATTTTAGGCAGAAATCATGCCTAAACACGAACTTCGTGTTTACACTGAGCCGGTTAGACTTCTAAAATGCAAGGCTTACCTCTACGTTTTAACTTCTAAATGTGAGGCTCACCTTCGCGTTTTGACTTCTAAACGTGAGACTCACCTTTGCGTTTCGACTCTTAGAACGTGTGGCTCATCTCCGCATTTCAGAAGTAGAGTCACAATGTACACTTTCGTACAGATCCTATGTGACAAGTTCCTGCAACCAAGCTCACGATGCCTACAATGAGTAACTCCTTTATAATAAAGAATTGTCAGTTCCAAGATCAAACAAAATTGAGATCCAAAGTATTCTGAAAATTTGTTCCAGTCAACCGCGAACTTTTAAAAACTTTGAAAGGGGTTCTGTAGGCTATCTAAAAATTACTACAGATAGTCGATCCCCATCAAGCACTGATGATGAAAATTACAATTCGATGACTTTCAGAAGGCTACAATTTAAAGACTTTCACGTCAATCGGCGAAGGTTACAACTCAACGACCTTCACAATCACTAGGAAGAGTTAAAACTGACGACTCTCACCGATTACAAGATGACAATCTGCACAATGCTCTAACAGAAGAGAGTACAAGTTGATGGTATCTTCAAAGCAAAATGCGAAGCTCGTGGTCGCGTTCCAGACTCATAACGCGGGGCTCATTGTTGCATTCCAGATTCAAGACGCAGAGCTCACCTCTGCGTTCCAAGAACAAAATACGAAGCTCACCATCGCGCTTTCAACTCCAAATACAGAGCTCACATTCGCACCCTAAGTTCAAGACATGGAGTTCATTCCCAGAATGCGAATTTCGTGTTTGACTCGTTCAAACACGATCTAAACGGTTCCAAAACCCTTTCCACAATTTAAGGGGATCAAATCCCCACTTAGGAGCAACTTAAGTGTTTAGTTACACCCTTTTAAACCCCTGTAAATAGCTGAAAAATCAGCTTAGAAAGAATCTTTTGGGCAGATCATCATTTGGGATCAGAATTATAAAGGCTTGGAGGTTTCGGATCTTAGAGAGTTTGAAGCATAATCAAGAGCTGTTCTTGGAGCCTTCTCCTTGGCTTGTGAACCATTTCGGTTAGATAAAAAAAAGGATTAATTTCCTTTCTTAAATTAACTCTTCACCGAGTTGTCAAACTCGTTCAGAGTTCTTAAACTCATTAAGAGTTTAAAACTTGCATTGCAAGTTCTTCACATTAAGTGGAATTAACCGTGCTCCACGAAGTGAAGTATTCGGATCGTCAACGAGATACAAAATTCAAACTCCCATCACTACCAAGAAGAATCCAAGTTTAAACAAAGGGGAGGATCTTCGTCGATTTCGTCTCTCTTTTGTAAATCAAGAAACCAATAAGAGAAATTGTAATTTTTTTCTAAGTCAGTTAGAGAGAGATTACTGTGAGAGATTGTATTTACTCTTTTCCTAAGTTAGTTAGGGAGATTAATACAAATTTTATTCTCAATTTTCTCGTAATTTTCCCACAAACAGTTTGCAAGATTTTTTTAACTATCTCACTCACTTAAAACTTTGGTGTTAACAACCCTCAACCCCCCCCCCCCCCCCCCCCTCTCACTCTCATCTTCTCACTACAACCCTTCTCTCATTTACTCATGGTGAAGGAAAGAGACTTACAACAAATAGAAAAATCCTAACAAGCTTTGGCATTGGTAGAGGGTATGTTGCAATCCAGAAACTTCCGGTGGAAGTTCAAGCTACTGGGTTTGAAAAATATAGATATGATAAATACTAGTTGATGTGTTAAAGAGGTGGACGTAGCCCAGTTTAAGGGTGAACCACCCTATATATCCGATGCACGCTCTTTGTGCTAATTATTCTTTTTATATTATCTTAAAGATCTCCTTACATTTTCCCTAATCTTTTCGCAAATCTATCTCAGTGAAAATCACTCATATTCCTACTGAGACATTCCCTATAACTTTCTGCTAGATACATCAAGAAAGATATATCTTTATCACTGAAAATTGCTCCTGATATTCCTACTCAATTATTGTAACAATTAAATCATCTTCTATCACTTCCTATTATTATCCATAAAACTCCAAAAAAATCTCTATATTATCTCAATAATCCTATTCTCCTCCCCCTCTAGGATTTTTACAATTATTATCCCCATCTCACATCTAGCTTCAAGTATATTTGCAGCTCCTCCCAATTGGTCAAATTGGTCATTGAAGGAAATAGTGCACTTATTCCTGATAATCGCGTTATTCAAATCCTGGTAATCTCATGATGCATGTACTACCTCTGGATATATGGTGGAAGAGAGAGTAGATGGGATAGAACTATTTTCTTATTGTTTTGTCTTTCCTTTTTATTTTTTATTTTTAGCTAATTCATATTTTAATACAGATGGTTGGATCAAATCGACATGATCCATGTATTATTTACAAAGTGCAAAAAAACTTAACCAAAAATGAAAATATCTATTTTTAAAAATTAATCAATTATTTAAAACAGAGATGTTCGTAGCTCTAAATGAAAAAGTAGGATCCATGTTTATTAACAAAATGCGAGAAATCTCCAAGGATTTTTCTTTTCTTTTTTTATTTTATGTTATGAGCAAAATTGACCAGCGTGTTATCATGACATTAGATTGAAAATAATCTAGAAATTTGTCAAAGAATTTTGTTAAAAAAATACACTATATACATAGCCACTTGGAATAAATATAGTAAAATATAATAAAAAAATAACAATTTACATAATAAACCAAATTGCTCAAATAAATATGAATCTAAAAATAATTCAGGTTGAGTTTTTTTGTGTCTAAGAGTGATTTAGGAATGGGTTGTTTAAAAATAATGGGAGTAAAATTTTAATTTATAAAGAAAATATTATTTTTGGAGGTGGTGGATTGAGAAATAAATAGAGATAAAATTTTAGATTTATAGACGAAACCTATCTGTCATGCCTGTGAGTATATCTAAAACTCTTTTTCTTAGTTTCATATGTTAAAGTGGGAGAATAAAATTGGAGAAAAACCTATCCTCCGTCATTTCCCCTTTTTTTTCCTCTTTCAAGTGTTTCTATAAATACAAGAAGAACCAATTCCTCTTAGAATGATTTCCACTAGAAGGTAAGTAATTGAATGATACATTTGTTCTAATCTTCTATAATCAAAATGGCGTAGAATTAAAACAATTCAAACATTGTTCTATGTTTCTCCATAGCCTTCTTTTAGTTAAAAAGAAAGCCGCTAGAAAAATTTCTTAATTAAATTTTATCATTAAGCTTTTGTCAAATTTAAGCGAACATGTTGCAGTCAGTTAAAAAGAAGAAGGGAAACTGGAAGATAACAACTAATTGTTAAAATTAGGATTTGCAGATTCTATGCTCAATTTCCTAATCAACTTAACTTTCAACGACGCTTTACTGAGCATTTTATCCTGCCAATTGCACACAGTACGAAAAGCAAACCACAGAAAATACCAGCTAATTAATCATTAAAAAATATGGTTTCGCAAGAAATTCTCTGAATTGGTCCACTGCCCCCATCCACACAAAATAACCACCATAATTGCTGAATCGTAAACCTAACAAGAAAAAGAATAGAAATTGATTGAAAAATCATCATGCAATTCGATTCGACAAAATAAATAGTTTCGAGCAGACTTGAGGTGGGAAAAGGCAGAGGAGATGGTTCTTTTCTGCCATATTCATGTCTCGACGATCTCTTTGTGGGAGTTTACAGATTGCACGTAGAGATTTATGAGAGATGTGATCTTTTTCTTGGTTTGATTATCTTCCATATCTTTTTCGGATTAATGATTTAGAATTTGAGAGGAAATGATTGACAAAGGAGGGGCAACTTGATGAGCAAGAAATTAAATTAACTGTTCAATACCGCAGAGAACACACTCCAGAATTTTTCCACATATATGCTACGTACTTCACCCTCCCTCCATCACTTTCTTACCCTCCCTAACTAGACACTATTCCGCCATCCATCTGAGATCCAATTTAGATAATGTGAGCATGCCAACGAAGGCGAACGAAAATTGGTACATAATTAATTAAGTCATAAAATATTTAAGCTCGTGATCCACGTCTCATCGGTTATGCATAGTTTATAGGTAAAAATTATTTAATATGATGCATGAGGACCAAAAATGATGAATACCTAATCTATTAAAGTAATACCTACAGTGCTCACCCACTGCAACAATAAATACCGCTCCAAACTCAACATTAATTTTTGAACACTAAACTCTCTAATGGCCCTTTTAGATCTAAATCCAGTGCTTAAGACTGATGAAGAGAGGCTCCGCTTCATCGATGAGGTAACCAAGGATGTCGGAAGATTACAAGATCGGGTCCTGGCTGAGATACTGAGCAAGAACGCTGATACCGAGTACTTGCAGCGACATGGACTGGGTGGCGCAACCGACGGCGCTACGTTCAAAGCAAAGATACCGGTGGTCACCTACGATGATCTCCGACCGGATATCGAGCGTATTGCTAATGGTGACCGCTCCCAAATCCTCTCATCCGAACCTATATCTCGGTTTCATACAAGGTGCAAGCTAAATTAGCTAGCATCAGAAGATACCGTCATATGGCAAGCGCGCATGCATGAAGTTAAATTACTATTTTGCTTAGCCTTAAGTAATTGAAAAATTACTCCCCGGATTGATCGCGCTAAAATAATAATTTGTCATCACGTGATATTCCCAAATTTTCGAGCACTTGGTTTCTTAGTGCTTGTGCAAATTTGCATTTAATAATCTAGAACTGTTGATTAACCCAACACGATGGCTAATTGTTCAATTTCAGCTCTGCGACATCAGGTGGAAAGATGAAGCTAATACCTGTCATCAGAGACGACCAGAATCGACATCGCCTATTCATCGACCTAGCTAACACGGTCACAAAGCAGTAAATATACCTTCCTTTTATTTTAATCCGGCCGTCTGTTCTATAATTTGTTTCTTCCTTTGAAAACAGAAACGATCGAGTGAAAACTGTGGAATCAGACTGACTTTTTGGAGCTTTAGCGCTCCTTTTCGAGTGTACTCCTACATACAAATATGCCATCTACACAATAATATGTATAGTAACAAAGTTGATGCAATACATGAAGCGCAAGAAATATACATCTACTTATTCTTGTTAGAACATAAAACTTTTTAACTTTTCATCACAATTTTAGAGTTTTAGTGCAGTGACATGGTCCATAATTTGACATATATAGTAAATGAGCAATCAATGTCAAAATTTTATTGGTCACAAATTGTCAATGGTCTTGAATCAACCCATGATATTGTTAGAATATAAAACTACAGCCCTCTTAACCTTTATCATGACGTTAGAGTTTTGATGTAGTGATAGGATCTTTTAACATGGTATCATAGCCAATAGCAACCCTCTATTAATCATCATCTCAAATTAATTTGAAGGTTTGGTGCAGTGATATGGTCATTTCTACATGGTATTATCACAGCTTACAGGGTTATAGTTTTATATTCTAACAGATCTTAACTGCTTCGGTACTCATGGATATGCTAATAACTTTAAGCAATTCTTTTAGAGGAAAAGTTACCCAAAACATATTACACTTGTGAAACACATGATAGCTGCCTACCCAAAAAAGAATTTCATTTCTAACCAAAAATGACACAGCGCGGAAGTGATAACCTCAGAATCCACCAATGGTGTTCTCTGAATCCACAAAGAACGATCTTCGAATCCACGAAGAACTTCGAATCCACGAAGAAAATATTGAAAAAGAGAAATTTTATTGATGAAAAGTTATTCTTTTTTTAGAGTTACATGACTCTTCTTAAATAGATAAAACAAATAAGACTCCTACTAAAACTAGAATTACAAAAATAGAAAGTATCAAGTTCTATCCTAAAAAAGACTCCCTATAATAGAGGAAACAAATCATAAATCAAAATTTATTTTGTTTTCAAATCTAATTTGACTCTAAAATTGAATTTATTTCCTAATATAAAAGACTCCCACTTTATTACTAAAAATAAACTAAAGGCTGATTATTTTCGGATTTCAGCCAAATATGGGTATAACTGATGAGATTGTAAAAATCAAACACTCTGGTTGGCTCCGTCTTGTCGAGATAGGTGATTTACATATATAATATGTCAGAATCCGCCTTCCGGATTGAAAGATATGATTATTTATTTACGGAAGTATAAATCTGTATTTAGCTCGTGAATGTCCGAATCATCCATTAAATTTTCTATTAAGCGTCCTACATCAGTCTCCCCTTATTGAAAGAAGCTCGACCCCGAGCTTATATTTGGTAGAATAGTAGCTTCATTGATAGATAATTTTCTTCTCTTACAACGATCAGCATCTGCCTTGTACTTAGCATTGATTTTCTTCATTTGTTGTTTTGCCTCTTCAGGTAGGACTTCTTTTGTATCAAACTTGTGTATGAATCTTTCCCATGACATGTGTATGTAATTGGCAATATGTGGCTCTGTAGTTGTCATAAAAAACTCTTCTAAATATATTCCCTGTTGCTTCCTATATTCTAGTGTCGGCAGAATCATCTCATTGTTGTTAAAATTATTGATGATCATTGCTTCCAAAAAAGAATTTTCTCCCTCATACTCTATACATAATTCTTTCATTTTCTTTGCCTCGAGCCCTCCACCAAGCAATTCACACAGACCATCAATTGCCTCACTCTCTATTTTATGGCCTTCTCCTCTATCGGGACAACATCAATATGCGCAATATCACTCTCAACCACTTTAAGAATATCATGCATATCATACATCTTCACTATCATATCACCATCATGCATCTCATGCATATCGAGTGTTTTCACCTTAGGAGGAATTTCGGTAGAGGCATGTTCTTCTTTTTCAGTTACAACCAAGTCACAGACCTCTTCAGATTGCTTCAAGTTTTCTGTTAAAGCCTTCTTGTTTGTCACAAAGAGTTCCTTCTTCTCAGTAGTCTTTATCTTAGATGGCTCCTTTTCTGTAAGAGGCTTGAGCACAATTCGTCATCCATCTTTCTTTAAGATATAAACATTGTCTCTGCTCTTATGGGTAGCTCCATTATTGAATTACCATGGCCTACCTGTCACGCCCCGCTTCCCAAAATACCAGGGAATCGGAACGTGAACAAACCCACGACATATTAAACTGAGGAGAAATAAGTACTAGACCCCTTCTGCTCAATCTAATACGCTAAGCATCAAGCAAATATAAAGTGAAGGCACAGGTCCCCGATCACAGTAGTGAGAATATAATAAACAACTCAGAACAAAATAATGCATATCATAACTAAAACATCATCCCAAACATAATATTCGGGCCAAACATGCCCTTATACAAAACTATCTGAATAAAATGCTTGGAAAATATAATATACAATGATCCGGCAGAAAATAAAAGTACTACAAAAGTAAACTAGGGTCATCAACTAACAAAAAGAGGTAACTAAGCTTCGACTTATTCTTCTGCTCCGTCTGCAAAGCCTTCCTACGGAGGATCCTCTGGCTCTTGTACTACTCCGAACTGTAGTTGTCCGTCCTCTAAATCTGATGTACATCCCTAGAGGAAAGGAGTACGTCAGCGTGCATGGCACACGACAAGATCCCAAAAGGAAGAATAGAAACGGTCATACGACCAATGCAATAATGGTAATAACAATGGAAACATGCAACTGAAATACTAATAATCTAAATATAATTTACTACTAGAATAGAATAATCAGAATAAATCCAAGGAAATCAACCAAGTAACAAGTCGATCATGCAGCTAGCGATCAGAATAATCATCCAAGCACAGGATCATACACTAGATGGAATTAATACTTAAAAATCTACAACTCGAGATGTAGTACGTCGAGCGAAATAATCCAGACAAGGAAACCCTCATGTATATACCATATGTCTTAAATTGTAGATAATTAAATATTAATCCTGATCTACGTATGAAGAGAAATATAACTGGTCTGTATCTCACAAGAATCCATAATCACCTTAAGTAATAAAGTCATATAACTAGTCATTCTATAATAGATCACTGGTCCACATCTCACACAAAGTCAACGCTCATATCATCGGATAACTGACTGTTCACAAATCTCATACGTGCATCTAATACCGCTACACGAATCGGTCAGAGGACTACACACAATCCGATTCCGACCTGGTCCGAACTCAAGCAGGACTCGGGTGACTACACGACTTTCACTGACTAAAGTGACTACACGAATTCACTTTAGACCAACAAACCAACCCCAGTGACTACACGAATTCACCGGCATGAGCCTGGAAGATACATCAACAGCTATATCCGATCACATGAACATGAACTTTTCCACCCCAACTCTTCTCGTTTTGCTAAGTCAACACAACACATGTCTTTAGGTCACGCAAGGCTACTACGGTCATGACCACTAACAGTTCTCAATCACAACAAGGAACAATCAATACAACTAATCATGTACAATAATATCATATCATATTAGATAATCAAGTCTAAGAATTTGAATCATAAAATCGTTCTAAAATAATCTTCTAAAATAATAAATTTATTTACTTCGAAATAATTTCTTTTTCCAAAATAAATTATTTATTTATAGTTATAATTATCCAAAAATAATTTTATTTTCCAAATTAAACTCTTTTTAAAATTATTCTAAAATATTCATTAAATGTTCTTTTTAATAATCACTCTTCCAAAATGAATTATTTCTCATTATAATTAATAATTCCTTTTTCAAATAAATTCCTTTAAATTATTTATCTTTATTCTAAATTGATTATTCTTCCAAAATAATTCTTTTTAAATTATTATAATTTTCCTAAAATGATTCCGTTCTCAAAATAAATTCTTTTAAATATAATATAATTATCCAAAAATGATTCTGCTACCGAAATAAATTCTTTTAATTCATTATAATTATTCTAAAAATGCTATTTATCATATAACTATGATATATTTAATATTATTCATCAATAATCCCATGTAGATAATTATATCACAGATATAAAATTACAGATAATTCATAATAAATACAAAATTTAGATCAGAACATGTGGGATCTTGCCTTGGGTATATCGTAGACCGTAGTGGGGGCCATCAGGGTGGTTTCACAGCGTTACGACGGGTTTCGGGGAATCGACGGCGGCAAAGGAATCGATGAAAACGGAGGTCGGAGTTGGCCGGAAAATGCGCGCGAAGTCGGCTCCGAACTGTAGTTTTCTGTAGTGAAGCTCACTGATTTGGGCTCGTCGGCGGCGGTGGCCAAGGCGGGCGGCCGGTGGCGGCATGGTCAGCGGCGGACCTGAGGTTGAGCGGTGGAGCGGGGGAGATGGGCTACAGGCGCGGAGCGGCCTTGGCGGAGCTCAAGTGCGAAGTGAGGTGATGGCGGAGGTGGTAGGGCTTGGTTCGGATCGTTTTCGCGACGTCTGAGACGGAGAGAGGAGGACACGGCGGGGGTTAACGGAGCTGAGGCATGGGGTGTGGCGTTGGAGCTTGACGGAGGACGGAGGAGCTAGGCGGTGGCTCAACGGAGGAGAGCTTAGACGTTGGGGTGAGCTCGAGCTCAGCTTGGGCGGCGGCGATCTCAGCCAGAGGTAGAGTCGTTGTCAGACGAGCGGCGAGTGGGGAAAGGAGGCGTGCAGGCGGCGGGTGCTGGCGGCGCTCGAGCGGCGCTGAGGTGGGCGTAGGCGGCGGTCAGGCAGCGGAGGAGTGGCTAGCGGTGGCCTCAGCGGAGCATGGTGAGCTCAGGTGGAAAGAGCTCATGACGGAGCTGGCGGGGAGGGATGACAAGGAGGGCTGCATGTGGAGGCGCGGCCTGGACTGAGCGGCGACGTGGTGGACGAGCTTGAAGGACGCTTGCGGCGTCCGAGGCAAGCTGGGGCGCGGACTTGGGGCGAAGCATCGACGGAGGAGCTTGGAGATGGGGGAGTTGCGGCTGTCGGCGTCGAGTTGCGGCGGTCGAGACTTGGCGACGGCTAGGGCAGAGGTTGAAGGAGGAGCTCATTGCGTGGTTTTTAGAGGAGGTGATGGCTACTGTGTGGCGTGGCGAGGGAGGAGCGACGCGTTCAGGAGGCGCGGCGTATGAGTAGATTTGGCTTTGGTATTTGAGAGGGAGATAGAAAGAGAGAGAGAGAGAGAAGAGAAGAGAGAGAGAGAGAGAGAGAGAGAGAGAGAGAGAGAGATGAAGAGAGAGAGAATGAGAAAGTGAGTGAGAGAGAGATGAGCTGTGGAATAATAGAGGAGAGAGGGGGGTGGGAGCGGGACACGAGGGAGGATTTTGAGGTGGGTTTTAGGGGAGTGGGGTAG